GTTGGGGGGAAAGGAGAGTGCGCTTACGGATGATCTTCTCGCAGATGAGCAGGCCGTAGGTCGGGATTGGGCCGGTGGAGCGGGCGGCGGCGAGCTTGGTGGCGGCTTTGAAGATGGCGGCGTGCCGGAAGATGTGGCTGATGTAGATCCAGGGGATGGGGTCGTTGTCGACCGTGTCTGGCTGGCTGGTCTCGAGGTTAGTGATCCACCTGTCGGCGTACACCTCCACCGCGTCGTAGAGCTGGAAGCGGTCGACGACGAGGGCGATTTGGGCCAGTGTTTCGTATGTCCATGGCCTTGGACACTTTGGATCCACGGCCGTGGATAACATTCATGACTATGCTGACGGCCTTGGGGTCGAACTCCTCGGTCAACTTGAGATGGACTCGGCCATCTGACTGCCGCGCACCCTTTGCGATGCCGAAATGCAGCTTGTTTTTGAAAACACGGGAAGCAAGGGCGAGGTGCCTTGAAGAAACCTTGATGCGCAGGCCCGATTGAGCGGTAGACGTGACATGCCGGGAATTGTCTTGCTCATTGGGACCGTTAAGACGTATTCCGAGCCCATCCTGCGGTGTCAAAGCCTGGTTGGATGGCGTCCCGGACACAATCAGCAAGACATCAGCATCCGGATCGACCTCATAGATGGGAGTGAGGTTCGCGAAAGGCGATGTCACGACAGCGACCTCGGCGTAGCACATCTTTGGGGATTGTCCAAATGTTTACAGCGCTGTGCTTGAGTCAAGTCACGTCTGACTGAGCCTTTTGCGGCGAAAAGGAGGTTGGATTCAACATCTCGAGCACGCTGCGCGCATGATGTGCGGGGCAGACTCGATCACGCAATTCTCCAAACTCGGTGGCTGGCCTCCCAATTGGGCACAAAGGCGGCTATTAAGGTTTCGGGCCTTCGGCTGGCTGTCTTGGTTGGGGGCCACCCCCCAATGGGACTCAGTGTCCCCAAATTGTCAACCTTCCAAAGCGGGCGGGGAGGAATTGAGTACATGGATGCATGTACCCGTGATCCCCTTATACGCACTGGCTCCCATGAGAATGTAGCATTTGGCAACGATTGAAACTCAGCCTCTTATGCTTACTTCCCCAAAATAGTCTTTTGTTACCTCCCTATACATACATGTACATCGGTACATGTGACGAGCTACAATGGGACCATCTCCTACCGGTATACAGCATGTGTTTCACAACTTCAACTTGCCGATTAGGGGCTACTTATCCCCTTTGTTGTTTGTAAAGGAAGCTCTTGATAGTGCTATAAAATTGATGCCGGTCTGCCGTTGTTGCCAACACCGCTTACACCCCCAGCAGGGGTGGTCCATCTCCTTTGATCCCCACTGATGCCGATATCAACACTAGACCTCTCAACTGGGCCAAACCCGTGCCCGCCATATGTCTGCCCGTATGTCGGAGGATGGTCATGTCCGCGGTTTGGCCCATCATCGATGTCGATATTTACCGGCTCCGCCTCCTCCTCCTCCTCCTCCACCTGCCTAATCCCCACCACCGGCTCAGTCTTGTGCTTGTCGTTGTTGTATGGGTAGTCGTACAACCCATCATGTCTGCCATCGCTGCGGCTACCGTCGCATTCGTGCATAGAACAGGCGTTGGCGGTAGAGATGGTGGAGTAATGCGTGCGAGTGGAGGGAGAGGGCGAGCGGGAGGGCGAGTGGGAGTTGAGATCGGAGTCGCGCCGGTGGTTGCAGGCACTGTGGCAACGGCAGGCGTTCTCGAGACGTCTGGGCCCGTCGTTTGCGAGCGTGGATCCTCTCTGTGAAGATCATAAATATGAGTGGAACGACTTGGGGAGAAGATAAAGGGAGGGGGCCATACCGCTGACGATCTGCAGAAAGGTAAAGACCGTGAGAGACATCAGCAGGACTGGGACGAGCTGGCCGAAAGTGGAAGGGTCGTTTTCTGGGTTCCCGTTGTTGCTCAATTGTATCCTGTAGCAGTATTAGCAACCTGGAAGTCTGGTCACAAACCGGCTCCATGTTCACGGGAAGAGAATGCGTACCATCCAGACCTGTCCACCCATGAGCGTAGACGAAGGACATAGATCGCTGCGTTTGCCACCGTCCAACTAGAAAGGGCAATTCCCGCCAACAGGTAGAGCCCAAAGATGGCGTAAAAGAACCGCTTGATGACGAAGAGGAACGGAAACACTTTCTTCAACCCCGCCACGAACCTCTTCCTCCTGCCGTTGCGGCCCATCCCTCGGCGGATTACCCGTCCCAAGCTCACACCCACGGCAATGAGATAAAACAGAAACATGATCAGGTAGTTGGTCCACCCGTGGATCTGCCCTGTGAAGAAGGCCGTGGCCGAGCCGGCTTTGACCGCCTTCTTGATCTCCTTATCAAACGTATAATCCCCCGTCTGGAAGCAGGCGGCCGGCAACAGCATCGGGCTGTACTGGTCCGTGTATGACGGTATTTCGGTAGGAAATCCCAATGACCCTGACCCTTGGTTCGATAACAGAACGCCAGTGATGACGAAAACGAGGGTCGTGACTGTAATTCGGAGGACGCCGACGTAGGGGTGCTGCCAGTAGTGTCGGGCCACGGTCACGGCCATTAGATGGGTGGCGCAGGTGACGAGGAGAATGTTGGCTACGATGTTGTAATGGTATGCCGAGATGGAGCAGGCTTTGGCGTAGCGTAGAGTGATGGCGTAGGCGCCGCCCGTGAAGACCTGCTGGTCGCTGCAAGTAATGACCAGGGCCTCGACAATGCCGGCAATGGAGATTTGCCAGTTCTTTATGGCCTTCTCTCTGGGACCGGTGAGTACTGAGTTGAGAACAGGAGAGCCGGGCCGGCAACTTACTCTCTGGTAAGCCGGTTCACAACTCCGAAGATGTTTTTGGCGGACCACCACGCTGAGCTGGCGATGGAGAGCAGGAGCGACGCCACGGTAACGCAGAGAAACGCCCCAAGCACACCGGCGCCGGCAATATCGGGGTCACCGGGGAATTGTCCCATCTCGATGCCTCCGAGGGAGACGGCCGTCGTGTTGTCCTCCGAGAGGACTACGTTACAGTTGGGAGTGATCCCTGTCCACCGTCAGTCGTATTGTTTCTACCAAGAAAAAGAGAGAACAGGAGGCATTTACCATGACGAGCCGCACAGTTAGCGCTGGAGACGTAGGCGCCCATTTTTGTCGGTCATGCCAGCGAGACTGCGAGTTCCAAACCGCCGGGTCAAGCTGGGGGACCTGGAGTGCTGGGAAACCTTAAACTCAAAAGATGTCAATGAAGGTTCCCGCTAGGCTGCACGGCGGAGGCTAACCGGGCCAGGTTAATATCGGCCATCGGCAATTCCAACGGCTGGGAAGCCATCACGTCCGCGCATCAAAATCGGCTCGCAACTAGGGCGGCACCGCTAAACGACTGGGTCAGCCGCCGAAGCACCTGCATCTTGCACGTCCATATGCAACATGGCCTAGATTAGATGCGCCAGTTCAGGAACCAACTGCATAACAGCCCAAGCCCACGGCCAATAGGAATGCCGTCCTTGCGGCCTCGAACCAACGAGCCGCATAGTCGCATCGATTACGGGACCCTCAAACAAAACTAAAACCTCCCTGGGTACATCACCATGTGGGGGTACGGCACAAGCGGGAAAATGGGGGCTGGAGGTCCCTCATCGTGCTTGGATAGCAACCTGGCTGTCGACGGCGCAGGAGTGGCAAACATTGTTAAAGAGTCCTTCCCCTCGCGAGGCTGTTGTTTGCTCTCCGTGTCATCGTCTTGGGGTCGTCGGGTTGGGTTGCATTGTGATGAGCTCCTCTGTCACAACTCGGCCCCCTACCAGGCCGGCCCACAGGCCGCCCACCACAAACTCAAATGCCCGGAAAAAAAGTGCAACCGGGTGCAACGCTGGGGGGGCAATGAGGATGCAAGGGGATACAAGGCTAGCACTTGGCAAGTTCTCTCGTCTCGTACCACCCCTCAGCGGCCAGAGCCCCCTAGGCATGTCGATAGTGGAGCCACCACAAACCACACTAAAAGGGTCTCGCCGCTCGCGGCTGGTAGCTCGGCCGCCAATTATTTGTGTTATTTGAATGTGGTTGCGCACTTGCCAAGTGATATAGCTGATGCCGTTGGCGATGCGGACAATCAACCGCATCGAGCGGGAGTTTATCATTTCGCTCTATGTAGGGGATATTACTAGAAACACATCAAAAAACAAAGAATACCAGAAAAAAATGAAAAGCAAAAATGTGACGAACCTACTTCAGGACCCTGTCCTGTTAGGGTTCAGCTTCGGTTGAAGGTGATCTCTCAAGGGTGCTTAGGTTCGGTGCAGCCAAAGGGTGCACAACAAAGACTTGTCTCAACAGTAGGCTTTCGAGCTTGTAGCGAACTGTAGTTGTGATTGCTAACTGGAGAACTCCCAGAGCTCTCCAGAACGAGTGACTATATACCTATCTAAGTCCTATGTGCTCAGTGTGCTCCGTCTCCTCCGGAGTTCGGCGTCACTGATCACACTGATCACTTTTAGTCCTTCCTGTGTTCTGATTGGCTGCATGGCTTCTATCCCTTTGTTCCCCGTTTTCCCTGATCACACTGAGCACAGCCCAGCCTTCCCTGATTGGTCCTCGGGACGACTGGCTCGGGGTGTCCCGCGCCCCGAGGCTCCACCTGTTGGCATATTCGTGACAAAAAAGAAAAAGAAGGAAAGAAACAAAAAAGGAGAGGAAAAGAAAGCACCGCACCACACCCAGACAGGCAAAAATTCACATTATTACAAATATACATATACACAACCGCATCAGAAAAACAACAACGCGCAAAACTAATGGGGCTATATGTGCGGGCCCGGTGGCACGCTGAGCTCGCCCATAATGCTGCGCAGGTACATATACCACAGCCCCTCCTAATAACTTTGGGTTGCACGAGCTGGTGAGCTGAAGCGGCGAGTGCTCACCCAGTCTCACTCAGCCCACCTGCAGCTCGCCCACAGCTCGTTCACCCGGTTCCCATTGCGAAGGCTTGCCGCGGCCATGCGCGCAAGATTGCTATGTTCGCTGATGCCTTGGATGCACTCCCCCTTGAATCAAAAACACAGTCTTAATGCTAAACCCACAAAGGTTCTTGCTAGAAACTAAAAGCTGCTTAGGTACCTATTTCGCTCCTGTCGTTGGCCCGTTTAATGATCACATCAGATCCGAAAAGACGTAAGGCGCTAGCCAGCGAATTTTCCATGGGATGATTAACACGGGATGACTTCAAAACACCGCACACTGCGGCGATTGTTGAAATCTTGAAGCTAGGCCTTAGAAGAAACCGTCTGCTCGCAGTCCTAGATACCTTTGTAGGATGGAAAATACCTAATTACCACCAATGAGCCAAAGAAAAAGGATAAACGAGACCACGACCAGAGCCCACATTTCAGGGGTTTGGCGAATGAGAGAGAGGAATTTAAGGGAGGAGGAGGATGGGGCCCGGAGAATACCAGGAATGGTGACCATACACTGTTGTGACATTTATACAAATTCACACAGACCATGGACACCACTAAGCGTTGGAGAGGTGTCTTCTATTAGCCCCCAGGCCAGCCGTTTGCGCTACCTCCAAGGCGTGGTATGCGTTTACCTGTCTGTAGATCCGACAAGAACGGGCTGACACGGTGGACTTATTGTCACTCTCCGCGCTGCCCCTGGGGGAGATGAAATGGGAAAATGAGGTGGCAGCCCACGAGACCGGCATTCTTGCTCAATTCAAAGGGAGACAATATTAACGTGGTGGGACATGATGAGAGAACGAAAACTCTCAACACCACTAGTAATATCTCTTATCATAGAAGGCAATGAAACTCGACTGGTTTTGCGATCGGACCATTCTTCAAGAGTTTCCCGCGAACTGAAGGGAGAAGAAGTATGCAAGTTGGAATGGGGATGAAAGCGATGGAGACTTGGTAGAGCATGGCAAAGTTTGCCGCACGGTTGATTCAGGCCTCATACGCCTGGCGAAGTTAGATGAGGAAGAGCTGGTACTATGCCTCCGCTCCTGGTACCTATGTTGGTACTGCCCGCGAACGAGGCGTGTACAGTTCCACCTGAAATGTCCTGGATCTGGGTGATTCCAAGTTTTCATCCTGTAGATGAGGCACAAGTCACAAACAACCCTTGGGTAACCCCCCCTTCCTAAACCGATGACGGAAGTTCTCCCCGTCCGGGTGTTTTGCAACTTTTCAACTGCACCGGATGGGCGGAGATTGACCTCGCCTCCGTGCCGGGCGGTGCGAAGGTTTGATACATGATACATAGCACATTCCAAAAACAGCAACATGACATCTGAAAACCCGGATGACGTGAAGAAAACATATTAAAAAGTCGCCGCGCGTCTCCGGACCCGGGTTTCCGCTTCAACCATCAAGACGGCAGAACGGGTATATGCTGGAACACGGCGATGGTTGAGCGACGTCCGAATAGCCACCCACTTCCCGGAAGGAAGCGTGGGTAGAACTTAAAACAACCCTGAATTCTCGCAGGGTACCCTTGACCTTTTCCAGCTTGATGTTGGGCTGGGGGTAATGACTCGATCCGGCTGCCCTCACGGAGGTTATTGGCCTGTAGCGGGTATTGCAGCTGAGTCAGGGATGAGATGCGAACGGGATTAGAGAAAAGCGAGTTAGAGATTCACTGTCTGTCCCCCGCGTTTACCGTTGCAAACAAAATATGCAGCTCCATGTCTCGTTCGTGGGGGTGATCGCTACCGTTCTTGGGATAACCCGGGGCAGGTTACACCCGATCCGGGCCATACCCACGACCATGGGCGAGCTACTCACGAAAAGATTGCGCAAGACACGCCGTGATGGTGAAAACAATGGTGCGATGGCACTCCCCACAAATGGCCATGTAACAATACTGACAACAGCGCCTTGGCCATCACGCCATCCGAAATCCCATGGCGGTGATGGATGTCACCTTACGCTCGCACCAGTCTCGCGCCACGGCGGGATTCCCGTAGTTGGGCAACACGATGACGTCCTGGACTCCTGGCATCTCAGGTCGAGGTTACAGCAGGGTGATATCGGCTAAAGTGGCAAAGCTAAGCTGGAGCCGTTAGCTTTAGACGGGGCGTCCTGGAAGCGCCCGGCCGCGTCAGGCGGCAAACCACCACTATACGATGAAGTGGGCTATATCCTAAAATAGGGGTGACCTGGTGACGGACATATTGCTGGCGAGGGGAGGCTCCCAATCGCAAGTTTGACCACAATTAGGAAACAATAGCCTTTGTTTCCAAGCACCGGGGCGGCGGTTTCAGGATCTACGCGGGTATCTGTCGACTCTTTTGCCATCGTTGAGATCAACACGAACGTCGATCGCGGCGAGACCTGTTCAGGCTGATGAAGGAATGACACGTAGGGCCCGGCCAGAGCCGCCCTCAAGCGCGCCCCAATCCGGTAGTTGAGCGCCGGTAGAAGCCGGCAATGGTAGCCGGCATAGTGGCCAAGCTTCTTGGCTTTTTCTCCGATGCGTTCTCTCGAGCCCCTGCCAGAACGGAGGTCATGGATTGGGCCGCCAGTGAGGTGGGTGGTGGAAGGTGGCTCGGGGTAGCTCAGGTGGTTAAAGGTGATGCTGCCCTGGCGAACCTGGAAATAATTTACAGGAAACAAGCGTCGTCAAGGGTTGTCATGCATCGGAAGCGACTCCTTGGCTGCGTTGGTGCCGGAGCGTCAGCTTGGTTGGAGTGGGTCGAGCAGGAACCCAGAGATCTTCCTCAAACCTTCTAGATGTAGAAATCTCGGAACCAGCCATAGAAAAGACGACCCGGTTCCGGCAAAGGCCGCGCTGTTTTTGCGGGGACGCTGGCCATGTCCAGATGTTTGGTGCTGATCACCGTGGGGCGAGATTCAGGCTAAAATCTCGTATCCCCTTCATTCGTGCTCAGAGTCTGGAGGTGGCGGTACCCCAGACAAAACTATGCGGCCCCTTGTATGGCATTGGGGACGATCGTCATCGTCCCCAGTTTACCAACGCCCAAACCGTCAACTCCCGCGCCAGGGCGCCCCAAGTCGCGCCCGCGGGTGCCGACCTAAATCAACACTGTTCTGGACGAGGACCTCGCCAGCAACCGACGAACGCCGACGATTTGGACAGCACGGCGAAGCCAGCCGGCGCGGTCCCCACGGGTGCCCACAACGGAAAGATGATGGAAGCCCTTGAACAAGTTAGAAGCCAACCCTGGCCTTGTTCTCAGGAACCGGTTGGGGGGCAGGGGTGGGCGTTCTAACGGTCGTCGATGTGTATAAGAGCGGCGATCACCTCCTTCCTCAACCCATCCGATCCCCTCTTCACAGCTCCAGTCAACAGACCGCAAAGCCCAGCCTCTCCAGCCTCTTCAACTTCACCAATAACCGCAATCATGGTTTCCTTCAAGGCCGTCCTTCTCGGCGCCACTGGCGCCCTCGCCTTCCCCTTCAACGGGACCCAGCTGAGCGAGCTCGCCGGTCGTGCCGGTACTCCCAGCGGCACCGGCACCCACGAGGGCTTCTACTACTCCTTCTGGACCGACAACGGCGGTACCGTCAACTACGAGAACGGCGCTGGCGGCTCCTACAGCGTTAACTGGCAAAACTGCGGCAACTTCGTTGGTGGCAAGGGCTGGTATGTAAACCCATGAACAGCCACAACTAAGCCCGGGCTTAGCTAATATGATGCCGATTCTAGGAACCCCGGCGCTGCCCGCACCATCAACTTCGAGGGCCAGTTCAGCCCGCAGGGCAACGGCTACCTGGCCATCTACGGGTGGACCCAGAACCCGCTGATCGAGTACTACATCGTCGAGTCCTTCGGTGACTACGACCCGTCGTCGCAGGCCACCAAGTTCGGCACCATCGACCAGGACGGCAGCACCTACACCATCGCCAAGACCCAGCGTGTCAACCAGCCTTCCATCGAGGGCACCAGCACCTTCGACCAGTTCTGGTCTGTCCGTCAGAACCACCGCTCGTCCGGCTCGGTCGACGTTGGCGCCCACTTCAACGCCTGGTCCCAGGCCGGCCTCCAGCTTGGCACCCACAACTACCAGATCGTTGCTACCGAGGGCTACCAGAGCAGCGGCTCTTCCTCCATCACCGTCTCGTAAAGTGGGGGTTGTCTGTTTTTGAAAAGGGGGCCCAGTCGCACGCCATTTGAGGACGCTCTGCGGGTGGGCACACACCTCGAAAGGTGTGGAGGGGGTTAGAGAAACGCTAGCGTTTGGGGCTGAACATAGGCAAAGAACATAAGGGGGGGTGTCGGGCTTGGGCAATGTCTCATTTTTTCGATTCGAGCTGCAGACCTTTGTACATATATGTGCACACTTGCCTTTTGTATCGACCTGACTTGAGTGTGGAACACGGGCCATAATGTGAGATGAATCTGTGCTTGATGTGTGATTTCCCGCCGAACCAAAGACGACTGTCAAGTCGCCGCCGTTGAAAGCAACTTGAAGTAACAGCGTTATACCTTCTCGCCATGATCCCAGCGTTCCCAAACCTTCAACGCTGATAACTCGTATTGTGGGAACAGAATGGCTATTAAACAAGGAGAAAGGCATCGGGTACATGTATATGCATCCCTACCTACCATATTAATATAACCCCATCGTGGGAAACGTGTAGACAATGGGCGGACAGTCGGGGGATGAAGTTCGCCCCGGAAAAGAGCGAACTGATCCATTTCAACAAAGGGCGACGGCAGTGGACCGAACAAGTAAACCTTGCCAACCCAGGGGGAGGCACCAGCCCCGTTAAACCAGAAGGGTCTGCCATGTTCCTGGGAGTCTGGTTGGACTGGAAACTCAACTGGAAGGCCCACCTGGTGGCGGTGGAGAAGAAGCTGAGGACCCAGAGCTATGCCCTGTCGAGGATCGTGGCAAAGACATGGGGAATGGGGCTAGCCAAAGCGCGAGAAGTGTACACAAAGTGCATCCGGTCGGCGCTGGCCTATGGCGCATCATCGTTTCACATCCCCACGGATGTGGGAGGCGAGCCGGTAAAGAAAGGCATCACTAAGGCCCTCGGGAAGGCCCAGAACAAGAGCTTGCGGATCGTGGAGGGAGCCTTTAAGTCTACCCCAATCCGTGACCTCGAGACAGAGACGTGGGTCCCACCATTGGACTTGTACCTAAACAAACGGCTTGCCGATTTCGAAAACCGACTCTAACGACCCGATCTGGACGACGGTCAAGGCGGCAAGAAGACGGCGGCGAGCGTTGTCCTCACCGCCTGCCGCAAGATACAGCAGAGGGTTAGCTCGAGGAGGGGCAACAGGGGCCGACCGCGAACCTTGGGACCTCAAGGGCCTACGGCGGTGGAGAGAGCCGCGGACATGGTCATGCGCTGGACGGGGGGAACCGTTGACACGAACAGGGTAGTAGAAGAGGCTTGGAGAGCGAGGTGGTTAAAGGAACGGGACGGCAGGGCAATCACCAGGCCGGCGGACGACTTTGACCATCAGCAGGAGACGCTATTCCGGAACGAAACCCTAAGGAGGCACGACGGTCTCAGCAAGGCGAAGAGCTCACTGCTGATTCAAATCCGGACGGGAGCAATAGGCTTACGGGACTTCTTGTTTACACGGGGAGTCCCGGAGGTTCTGACTCCTGCCTGCGAGTGTGGCGAGGGACGAGAGACTGCCGAACACCTGGTAGTGTGGTGTTTGGCCCCACCGTTGACTAGAAGATGGGAGAGAACTGGAATTCGGACACGACGGGACTTTTACTCTGTTCTACACGGCATCAATCCCACGACTGCACGGCTCGCGAGGAGAGTCCTCGACTGGCTGATGGACTCGGGGAAGCTGCCGATGTACAACTTAGCCAGGAGGCTCGAGCTGGAAGCGGCGGCCTGAAGCGCCCCCGTTCGGAGGCCAGGAGGCCTCCTTTCTTTGTATATGTAGGCTCACCAAAACGCATCGCTCCTTGATTGTTGGTATGAGTTTTTCACCCGGCCCGGGAGGGCACGGTTTTCCTGTACACTAAATAGCTGAGGGTCCGGCACGCCCTAGGGCATAGCGGAGTATGAATAATAATATAACCCCATCGAATATACTAACCCCCTCAAACACGCTACCGGGGTAGTTCCCGTAATTGTAGTAATCCACATTCAACACGTTGGGGGCGCGGCCCCAGTCGGTGCGGCAGTTGTTAGCCGCCATCCCCAGGCTGCCGGGGCCCTCGGCGGCGTTGGTGACGTTGAGCTGGCTGACGGCGGGCACGAGGATGGACTGAGCCCAGCAGCGAGACCTCGGCGTTGAGGTTGTGGTTCATC